ACTTCGAAAGAGTACTGAATACTCCAAAAATAACATATCGTAAAGAAAATCAGAGAATTCCCCCGTGTACAAAACATGATGATGTAACAATAACTGAAGAAAATATAATTGGGACTATTTCAAATTTCAAATTAAAAAAATCTCCTGACTCTTTCGGTATCTCAGCAGAACATTTGAAATACGCAAAGTGCGATACTTTAACAAAATGGCTCATCAAATTTTTTAACTACTCCATTAACTATGGATCGACTCCAATATCAATGTCGACGTCAACTATAGTACCCCTTGTTAAATCGTACAAAAACTCTTTAGATAGCCCGAGCAACTATCGTGGTATTAGTATTATACCAATTTTTACAAAGGCTCTAGAATACCTGATCTTAATTATATGTCCGGATATTAGAGATACTCATTCCCTACAATTTGGATTCAATGCTAACTCTTCAACGCTACATGCTGAATTTCTGATAAGCGAAACAATTAAACATTACAACAGCAACCATTCCCCTGTGTATCTATGTTCTTTAGATGCAGAAAAAGCTTTTGATAGCTGTAACTGGAATATCCTATTTGAAAAATTATATTTCGATAAAAAATTACCACTATGTATAGTTAACACTGTCTCCTCGTTGTATAACAATAGTAGCGCAACAGTCTCATATCAAGGTTGTAAATCAAACTCTTTTCCTCTAAACCAAGGAGTAAGACAAGGATCAATTCTTTCGCCTCACCTCTGAGCTATGTGAAAATAATCCTGGTCTGATGAAAAAGCTAGATATAATTGGAAGGAGTGCGCTAAAATCGTTTTTAAATGTTTCAAAACATAGTAAAAACTATATGAATTCGTTATTTATAATCCAGGAAATTTCAAAAAGTGTTCAACAAAATAAGTAAACTTGTTCCTTCGACTTCTTAATAACAAAACAACTGCAGACATTATCTTTTCACAACTGCAACACCCGTTATTTCAACATTCGTTTGTTAGTGATATTCAGGAACTATGCCATCTTCAGATATTAAAATTTCAAAACCTAATTCAAAATAAAAAGAAGTAAAAATACCACTTTCTAAAAGTAAAATTCCTTCCGAAGTTGAACGAAACTTGAAGTATGCAATAGAGTGCTGGAATGCAAAAGAGCAAAGAGGAGTTTTCAAGCAAATTCTGGAAGAAAACGTTTTTAAGCAAAGTCATCCGAAATAACTTTCTTATTTTTTTCTTTTTACCTTGTAAATTGGGTGTTAAATAAATAAAATAATAATAATAAAAAACAAAAAAAGGCAATTAAAAATAAATCAAGGTATTATCAATTAAAAATATAATTTTTTATTTAATTAAAAGTCAGTTGGGTTGAAAAATCAAAACTTGGTAAGACTATTTTGTTCCAGAATAAGGACCTCGGTAAAAAACAAAAAACTGGTCTTTGCTTTTACGGCAAAAAGGGGCAATAAGACTGTTATTAATTCCAAAGTTAAATTTGTTTTTAGGTTTCATACAATAAAAATTTTGTAATACATTTGGCGACAAATTTTCTTTACATTTAAACATGAAACATAAAATATTAAAGACATTTAATTGATATACATTTAAAATATTCATTTCTTTAAAAAGTTGTTTCGTGTGAAAAAACCGATTTTTAAAATTTATTACGCGAGTTGCGTCTTTCTGATGAAGGTAAAGAGATTTTAGCTTTGTTCTGATAGTGCTTCCCCATATATTATTCGCGTAGTTTATATGGCAATGTATAAATGAATAATATAATTGTGTTAACTGGTGTTTACTTATTATATTTCTTGCTTTATAGAGATTTCCGATGCATTTAGCAATTTTGTTGGAGGTATTATCAATATGATTTCTCCAAGATAGGTTTTTATCAATATATACTCCAAGAAGTTTAGTAACTTTTTATCTTTTTATTATTATATTATCAATTAGAAGATCTGGCATGATATGGGGCAGTTTCTGGTATTTTACAGGTGGATAAAAAAGTG